GGCAGGGATGTCCATTATCACCGTTGCTGTTTGTTTTAACATTGGAAATATTGTTAATTAAAATTCGAGAGTCGCAGGAAATTAAAGGAATAGAAGTTAATAAAAAAGAATATAAGTTAAGAGCTTTTGCGGATGACTTGGTGGTTACTTTGTCGCAACCTACTCATTTTGTAGTAAAGTTATTACAATTGATTCATTATTATGGTTTGGTCTCGGGCTTTAAGATTAATGTTAACAAGACTAAAATTTTATCTAAAAATATGACTAGCCAGGAGAAGCAGACCTTGGTTAATTTGACGGGTTTTGAAATTGTTAATAAGGTAAAATATCTGGGGGTGATGTTATCTGTTTCTAATGCAAAATTATTTAAAAATAACTATGAAAGGTTGTGGGTTAGGGTACAGAAAGACTTGAAGAATTGGGAGAAGTTGCAATTATCCCTTATGGGAAGAATTGCAGTGATAAAAATGAATATTCTACCCAAGTTTCTCTTTTTGTTTCAAATGCTACCGATTTTGAAGAATGAGATTAATCTAAGTGAATGGCAGAAAGGCCTTAACAAATTTATTTGGGCAGGGAAAAAGCCAAGGGTTAAGTTTAAAATTATGCAAGACTTCCGTGAGAGGGGTGGACTCAAGGCACCGAATTTGAAATTATACTATGATGCGGTGGTTTTAACACTAATCAGTGACTGGGTAAATTTGACAAATCCTGAGATACTCCATCTAGAGGGATGGGATTTACTTTTTGGGTGGCATGCCTATTTAATATTTAATAAAAAAATGGATTGGGTTTTTAAAGCTCATATTTTAAGAATTTCTTTACTTAGGACTTGGAGAAAATATTATAAAAGTGATTTTAAAGTACCATTATGGGCTATACCTTGGCATGCGATAGAAGGAATAAAAAGGGGTGCTAAAATGGATATGGTGTCTTATAGACAGTTACTTAGATGGGATGGACAAAACTGGCAGTTAAAATCACGGGAAGAGTTAGCACAAGAAAATATTATTTATTCTTGGTTCCAATATAGGCAATTAGTAGATAGATGGAAGGTGGATTGTAAGGTGGGTATTCTTAGAGAAGATGAAAATCTTATTAAGCAAGTGAAGGATCAAAGACAAACCCACATTAAGAGGATTTATGGGATTTTAGTTGAATTGGATTCAGAAACGGAACTAATTAAAGATTGTATGATCAGATGGGCGCAGAATTTTCGTGAGCCAGTTTCATTGGACACCTGGGAAACCATCTGGGTCAGAAATGTCAAATTTACACAAGCACAGAACTTAAGGGAGAATTTTTATAAAATGTTTTATAGATGGCACCTTGATCCACAAAAAATGTCTCTTATGTATCCTGACTTACAACCTAAATGTTGGAGATGTGGTTGCATGGATGCTACTTATTATCACATTTGGTGGTCGTGCAGAGAGATAAAAGCATTTTGGATTAAGATATGGTGGAATATCCAGAGAATTTTTAGAAGGAGGGTAAAATTTACTCCGCAATTATTTTTGTTGGGTATAGTTACTGATTGTGATACAAAGGAGGTTATATTGATGTTAAATTTGATTACAGCAGCGAGGCTGTTAGTAGGACAATTTTGGAAGAAGGAATCTTTGCCTACATTGCAGGAATGGTTTCTTAAAGTGTCTCATTTGGCGGAAATGGCAAAGATTTCGGCTTTTTTAAAGGAACAAACGCAAGAGAAATTTCTTGCTGTTTGGGATAAGTGGATAAAATTTATACAATTTAAACTGGATATAAAAAAATATTATATAGCCTTTTCATAATCTTCATTTATATATATATATATATATGTTTTAATGTTATATTTTCCTTTTTTATAAATATAATTTTTTAATTGTTTTTTAATTAAGCCTATATTCTGCTCTGGGAAGCTCTGGGGGGGGGAAGGGGGGATGTTTGGGTGGGGGGTGGGGAAAGGGGGTTTTGTTATGTAATGTTTAGGTTTTTTTGTATATGTTGTTTTTTGTCTTTGTATGGTTTTGTTCTTTTTGTAAAACTTATAAAACTTTTTAATAAAAAAAAAATTAATCAGTGGAAAAGCTTGCCTCTAGAAGTTATGGGTGCCCCGTCACTGGAGATTTTTAAGAAGAGATTGGACCGCCATTTGTCTGAAAGAGCATAGGGTCTGTTGCTCGAGCAGGGTTGGACTAGAAGACCTCTAACGTCCCTCCCAACTTTATTATTCTGGTATATTGAAGTAGTTTAGAAACGGTGCTTTGAGTCATAGTTGAAATGAACAATTCCTATGTGACCCTACAAGACATCCATGAATCTATACTATACAGACATATCTATGTTGTATACTGAACAATACAGTTTGAGCATATTTAATGAAGTAACACTATTTCTACTAAACAAAAGATATACTGATATCCACCATGAACAGTCTTTTTGTGTCAGAAATGTTTTTAAGACTGAGTAACAATCTTTGATGAATCATGTCTCAAAAATGATTAATGGTTTCAGTCCTACTTCTAAAATATCAGACAGGGAACTTCAGCTTTACTACTACTTTAATAATTCCTTTTGAATTAGCATGAGATCCTGCAAGGAGTGGTGGTGAAAAGTATTTCTTTGTTCTTTCTTATTCTTTCTTGGCACTGGAACTACCTCTTTTTCTTGTACATCAGTCACAAATAACTTTTATACAAGAAATGTCAGGAAAAGTAGCAACCTTGCAAATGATCCTTTACCAAGTTCTAGGTCCAGACACACTGGGGATTCTCACATGTTCTTCCTAAAGTTTTTTACAGCCAGTTTAATCCTATGCTGCTTCACTTCTCCTTCCACTCCTTGCTCACTCCCCTCTAAGAGATTTAGGGCATCAGCCAGAGATATTTGGCAAGAAACTAAGAATGGGCATGGGGCAGGAAGCAAAAAAATCCCAGGAGCCACTGGGTAAAATGCAACAATAGAGTGGGTTGTGTCAAAGCCTTTTTCTTCAAGTTAGTCATCAGAAAGACACTGGGGCCTTTGATACAGGCAAATGTCACCAGACATGGATAGTACCAGCATTTCCAATTATGATTTCTCCCCTCCCAGATCTCAGCCTTTAAAGAAAAACAACGGACTGCATGAACATTATAAAAAGGGTGCTAAGCAATCCAATATGTTAAAACTTTTGGATGCTGCAACTAGGTAGAGAAAGAGGTTTTTCCAGCCAAATGAACTCACAAAGAGTAATGTTATAAGCAAAGTACTTTCCCTCCTGGGCACAGAAACTACACTGATCACATTCCAAAAGTACGATGTACTCCTAACCATAAGTAGTGCTCCCTTTTTCTATTCTGGGTTAAGCTGGCACATCAGAACATGAGAAAATAGCAGTTGCAAGATTTTCTCGCTGGGAACTTTATTTGTGCATCTTCACAATGGGCCGCTGAGGTACTGTAATCCCTCTGTGATATATAGATTAAAATGTATTGAAGGCAGTGTGTTTATTTCTTGCCTGAGCCTAATAACAAACTTTATTCACACAAGAGAGGTGTTAACACATTTTTTCATTTTAGGGAATCATAAACAAAGACTTGGAGAATTCCCCCAATTTCTTGTCTATAGATCTATGAGTAGCAGCATCCACAGGGGATTAAAACAGGTAAGAGGATGCTCACAGCAACGAGATCAAAACACTACCCATCAACAGATCAACATGTGTACAAAAGGTGCAGGGGTTCAATTGTATGTTATACAACCAGCCATCAGCCATCTGATCTGACAAGCCACACTCACCCGTCCCAGACACCGCTGTCTCCTATTCTACAATTCCCAGAATCCAATGGCTAATCAGGTCAAGATACACTTGCCACATTCTTTTGATCCTCTGTTGGGGCATAGAGCTACAACTAGTATGAACATACTGTAAATCTACTTTGCCCCACTACCATTTAATCTACAAGTTCTACTGAAGATATAACTCACTCTTTGCACATTTTAAAAAGTTGCGAGGTGACTGAATCTGAATTTGTGCACAGCAGGATGCTGAACCTTATCCTGTATATTGCGGTCCTTATGGACTCAAGCTGCAATTTTTCTTGAGAGAGAGATTTTTGGTTAAGGCAGAAGGGCAAATGTTAACTACCTTTTCCTGCTGTCCTAATCATGGACCTCCTACAGGGTGTTTCTTGACAACTTTAAAATGTGATTAATCTAGACTGGGAAATTCTGGGAATTGTCATCCACACACCTTAAACTTGCCAAGATTGAGAAACACAGCCCTTATGGCTTCTATTTTAAGAGAAAACTACATCTATATGCAAACACAGATGTTGATAGACTTCCTGATTAATACAAAGAGCAGTTTAACTCTTTAATATAATATCTGATGCATGTTAGGGATGGAAATCATGTGTGACCTCTGTAATTTCAAATGAAAATATGTATCAATTTAATTTTTTAAAAAAAAATACATGGTTTTTCAATAAGGTAAAGTTCTTCAGTGACAAGTGTTAAAATCTTTAAAAGGGAATGATACTAGAAAAATACTAGAAAAATGTTTATACCCAACTCTGTATGTATTGAAAGTATTAAGAATTATATTTGTTTAATGTAGATAAAAGGAGAATATTACTGGAAGAAGAGAGAGGATCAAGAAAATATATTATCAACCAACATATTGATCAAGTATAGAAATTAATTATTATTGTTTTTAAATATATGAACCGAGACAACACATTGTTCAGTAAACACTAAAGATTGTTATTGTAAAAAATTAATAAAACATATTTAAAAAAGAAAGTATATAATATGCAACTCCTGACCCTGTGTCTTTTAAATTTGAAAAGTTTAAGCTCTTGGAAAATTTATAGGAATCATGAAGACTGGTTTATCTGCTAATCATTTTGACATTTGTTACAGCAATGAAGTCAGAACAGCAGTAAAACAATTTGGTGCAACTGCATACATCCAACAAGACACAACTTTCATCAAAGCCCCATCTTCCACCACTAAAGCTCTGTATGGTTCTATACCTGGATATGGCACATCACGCCAACCATATGGAACGCTGCGATCCTTCAGTCTTCCCCAGGTCTCAGGAGTGAAGTGCTGTTCCCACATAAACACAGGGATATCAAAATCAAACTGCTTCTCAAATGTTGGGTGGTGTTTCACTCTGGATTTTAATGACGAGAGGCATGATCTAGACTGAGAGAGATTAGAAATGAGTAAATCTCAAAGGCAGGAAACATTCCAATCTATCTGTATAGGTTTTTGGAAAGGCTACTTTCACTAGCCATTCAGAGCAATGTGCATCCAACAAGACCAAATGTAGCATAGCATACCTAGATTATAAGTCACAAAACAGCCCAAATGTAATTTCTGTTGTAATTCGTAGAAAATCCAACTCTTGATTCAAAATAAAATAATCTAATTTAAAAAAAAATAGATTCCACGTTGACACATTCAGAGTGAGATTGTCCAGGAGTTTGGTTTTTAATCTCTGGAACTCTTTTACTGGCCTCAAAGAGGGGTATACAGAAGCAGTACCAGGTGCTAGAATATTCTGAATGTGCTTAAATCATGTAAAAATGTACAGAAACAGTAGCACTGGTTTATTAATTGTTAAGAGTAGCGCTGTTTATCTAGACCAGACATGTCAAACTCGCAACATCACGTGACGTCGTGCGACGTATCGGAGCTTTTTTGCCATTGCCGGCAATGGGGTGGGTATGGCTCCGGTATGATGAAACTGGCCTGGGAAAGACTGAAGGATCGCAGCGTTCCATATGATTGGCGTGATGTGCCATATCCAGGTATAGAACCATACAGAGCTTTAGTGGTGGAAGATGGGGCTTTGATGAAAGTTGTGTCTTGTTGGATGTATGCAGTTTGACACCCCCGATCTAGACGTATTGTGCTTTAGTTGTGTCGAACTACACTTTTTGAATAAATCACATTAGAAGAGTCATGCAACATATTGATACACCATTTCACTTTAGTATGAAGTAAGAAAGTAGACTGCAGCTTGGAAAGTCTTCTTATATGTGAGAAGTAATTATTGGACTTTATTGTTTGTTAAAATCTACTAGGGCAGTAGTTTTCAAGACTAGGCCGTACCATACTTAAAGTTAATTAATCTGCTTAATTACACAGAGATAAGACTGATATTATTCAAGTGCAAACAATAATCTTAATCCCAGTTCCTTCAATCTTGAAATTATTGAATTAACTGGTAAAAAACAGGAAACTTTTTTTCAAACTTGCCACTTATTCCCAAGAACTGGGAATTAACCAATGTGACTTTGCTTTTTGAAAAGGGATGGCAGTTAATGGAACCATATAGGTCATTAAGCATCTCATCCATGTAAAATGGAGAAGAGTATCATTAAAGAACTTAAGAAAAAGCTAGCTGAAAATGAACTCTTACCTTAAAATATTGTCTCATTAAACTATGTATATTAAAAATAAATAACTCCATGACTAATTCTCTGATGCAGGAATCCTGAATAAACTAAGCAGTAGGAAGGTACATTCTGTCCCAGTCCTTGTAGGAACACCCAATTCTTCAAGGACTTCCACAAGGAGAAAAGTGGAACTCAGGGAGAAGGGTGCCCCATTGGCAGGGACTGCAACAGAACAATTTGTAGACCCTTTTACATGACAACATTTAAAGGAAGCGAACTGGAGTGTGCACAGCCTATTTGATCTGGTGAAATGGGCAGATATTCTCAGTGGGAAGCTGTCCCACAAATAATCTTGTTTCATCACCTTTAAAGGTTTAAAATAGCACCCTAAATTGCACTTGCACTCAGAAAGAAATGGGAAACCTGAGTAGCTCATATAGATGTGATGTAATATATGCAAAATGTGAAATCTTTAGAACTGGGTGCACTACCATACTCCAAATCAGTTGTGATTCTTGGTTTTTTTCAAGAGTCGCCTCAAGTAGAGTGCACTGCAGTAATTCACCTGGGAAGTGATTGGGGCATGAGTAACTATGAGCAAGGTCTCCTGGTCTGGGAATGGACACAAAACAAGTGAGATAAAAGGTAAATGCAGTTAACTGAACACAGCTAAAAAATGATTCACACTGCTATACTGAGCAGTCTCTATATTCATAAATACCAGTAAATGAGTTTGCGGTGACTAATCAAGAAAAGGACCTTAAGAATGATGGAGTAACTTATTGAAAAGATGGCTTTAGGACAGTGGTTCTCAACCTTTCTAATGCCGCGACCCCATAATACAGTTCCCCATGTTGTGGTGACCCCCCAATCACTTATACATCACCGGGTGCCAGGGGCGTGGCTAAAGAAAAGGGGAAAAAAATGGCGGACAGCCTTGTTTGGCGACCCCCGTGAAATGGTCATTCGACCCCAAATGGGGTCCCGACCCACAGGTTGAGAACCACTGCTTTAGGATCATTTGGAAGGAAACTAAAAAACTGAACAATTTCGGTCGTTACAACTGAAAGAGAGCATTGCAGATTGGAAAGATGCAAAAATGGGTGATCAAACTGATCAGGGTGCTAACTTCTTGGCAAGGAAAGATTGTAGTGTTTAAAGTGGGGCCTAGCCACTTTGGTGTTCTCTGAAGATAATTAAATTGTCCTAGGATTTTAACCATGTTGGAAGCAAAGAAAATCATCAGTGTTTGCTTATTATCTTATGTTGTCAAGTGCTGCTTATAGGAATATAGTATCAAAAGTCTAGTTTAGAAGATGCTTATAGTCAGTCTGCTGATGGGTGTTCTGAGAATTGCTTTAAATCAGAAGTGTCAAACTGCTGGCCCACAGGCCGGATGCACCCACCCCATTGCCGGCAATGGAGAAAAAGCTCCAATACTTTGTGTGACGTCATGTGACATTGCGAGTTTAACATTTCTGCTTTAGATAATCTCAGAGAGAGAGATAGAGAGAGGGAGAGAGATGTTAAATATTCAAAGATACTTGTCCAGGTGTTAAACAGTGTTTGAAAATCAGATCTGCTGTAAATTCCTTTGAAGGTTTATATCAGTGGTGGCGAACGGGTGCCAGAGGCGGCATTCAGAGCTCTCTCTGTGGGTACGTGTACCATCGCCCCAGTCTTAGGCCTTCAGCTGGGCTTTATAAAACTTTTTCGCTTTAGGCCTCCATCGCCATGTGCAAAAAAAAAAGGTTCAATCAATCTTTCAATTTCAACTTCTCGCAGGGAAAAAAAAACTTGCAAAGTTGGAATTGATTGATTGAACTTTTTAGTCCCACCCAGTCTGCCGTTACCACCACAGCCACGCCCACCCAGTGGGCCATACCCACCCAATGGGCCACACCCACCCGGCACCCAACGATCCACAAGTAGGTTTTGGGTTGCAGTTTGGGCACTCGGTCTCTAAAAGATTCGCCATCACTGGTTTATATGATTTGCTTATGTTGCATTAAGGATGAATTTGTTGAGAGAACAGCAGCAGAAGGGGAAGCTAATAAGATTCCTTCTGAGGGATGAATTCCCCATGAAAAAAGGACTAAAACTTTTGAATTCAGCATCCAAATCTTGTTTATTTGTTTTATTTGAGATGTAAATGAGTAAATAGGATTTGTTTTGTTAAATTTAGTTAACAAATTTCTTGTCCAACATAACATTGACTTTTAGCTTTGACAGGTTAGACAAAGTCTAGCACTTGGAATTGTTCTATTATCTTTTTAGTTTCTTTTGCCCATTTTGGTTCCCCCCCTCAAGGGTTTGGGTTAAATTCCAACATGGTTAAGATGCTAGGACAATTTAATTATCTTCAGAGAACATTCCAAATTATTTTTATTGAAATAGGCTATAACAGAATCTTGCATATCTTCATCAAGGTAACCTTCTCTCTATAGCTACCTTATGAAGGGTTTGTCTTGAAGGGTAACATACAGAAATGCTGTCACTTACCCATCTGTTCCTAAACAATATTTTCTAAGACTGAGCCAGTGGGAAAAATGTAAGGTCTAGGATCAAGACTTACTGCACCCATCGAAACCCTGGAAAGTCTCTTCTTTGAGGGCAAAAAATTTGATCCCCCATCAGGTAGCCATCCTGCAAAATGTACATGGGGCTTTGGATGAAGAAAACATCTAATCTGATTTCATTTTAATTGCAAATTGGTTAAATAATACAATTAATGTACTTTCTCATATGTTTTTAATCATTTCTCTCTCCCTTGTGCATTCCTATACCAGGTCATTTTTTTCCCTTCTAATTCTCTATAAGATACAGAAATAGGAGTAAACCATCCTTGCTTATTTGATTTTTTTTCAAGAGATAGGGTGGAAGAGTAGGTACATAAATGAGCTATATTAAAGCATGTTGTGAATAGGAGAGTTGCTATAGATGATTAAGAAAGAACTGTATCCAAATTTAGTCAGACTTGGGTTAATGACTAAATTGGGTTAGTGACTAACTTAGTGAAATCAATAAGATTTAAATAAATCAAGATTCACTGAAGTCCTAAAGATTTTAAGTTTTTTTTAAAAAGTACAATTACATCTGTATGCAGCCCTATATGCAAGGGGCGAGAGAGGACCTAAGTGTGTCATTTCTTCAGTAAGTGCTAGAGATACTTACTAAAGGTATAGCAGAGAATCCAAAAAAGGGTTGTTAATGCATCCAAGTAGTCATTTGAACATTATCATTGAAACGACAGATTGACAAATAAGCTATTTAATATGCATGATATGCTTGTTACCTTCTCCTTAGGGCTAGACACATCTCTGGTTGAATTTCTCCTGAAAACAAAGTAACAAGAAAAAGGAGTAAAATTTGCATTTCATTGCCCAAAAACTATGGATTCTGTATTCACAGACACAGTAAGATTTTCTGAGGAACGTCTACTTGCTACAATTAAAAAAAAAAAAAAAACCTGCATGTAAATAGCAATACTAGAACTAACTCTCAGCCCTGTTACAAGCATTGGCTATAGATAGACAATATGAAAATCCATCACATTGGTACATTTTGTTCCTTCTCCCCACCCCCTAGTTAATTTTTAACTAGACAATCAAATAAATTCAGCATCTGCTTGCATTATCTTATGAAGATGAAACCTGTGGTAATCTCAAACTGAGGTGAATGACCAGAACATTTAATTATTTAAGAATTAAGTCCAGTATAGCTGTCCCTCTAGTTCCCTCCTCTACCTTTTGGGTGACAAAGTTGTCTACTAGATTCATCAGGAATCTATTTGATCTCCCACTTGGTACAGAATTTGTCTTCCTGTTGATGTCAGGGTAGTTAAGAGTCCCCCTTTATTATTGTGGTGTGCATCCTGAACACCTAATTGGTTAGCAAAAATTTCATCTATTTTCTCTTTTGGGTGGTTTGTGTTACACACTTACGGCAATATCATTCCTTTTATATTAACCCAAATGCATTCAAGGTTTTCATCCTTGTTTTTTTGTATTTTGGTAGAGGTGTAGTTATTTCTGAGATATAATTCAAGTCCACCTCCTCTTTTGTTAGGTCTGTTTCTTTTGAACAACTTTAAATCCTTCTAGCAGTATGTTCCAGACATGGGTTTCACCCCTCCATTGTTTGTTAATGTCAACAATGTCATATATGTCCTCATTTACCTGAATTTCTAATTCACCCTATTTATTCCTCATACTCTGTGCATTGGTGTATAGGCATCTAAGTCCTTTTTGACTGACCCTATGTTTGCTTCCCTACTTCTCCTTCTTTGTTCCCCTTCTTTCTTACCAGTTGGTTGATTGCCATGAGGTTTATGTTTTGGATTAGGTCCTAAAAATTGGCTTCCCTCCTCCTCCAGTTTTAGTTTATTAGTTTGTTTAGTTTAGTTAAAACTGGAAACTGGTCAGTGGCTTCAGCCTTTAAAAAAAGATTCACAGCTTTCTTGAGAATGAATATGAAATACAATTGGATAATTTAGCCTAATACTGTAGATTTCTATCAGGTCAGCTACGGGACACTGAAAACATGCCTTGCCTCCATAACATGCTTTGTGTATTCAGTCCAGCAGAAGCAATTGTTGATCACCATTTTCTAAGGACAAACCTGGGTCACTCTTGGCAACAGGAACAGTAGCAGTTAATTGTGTAGGAAGGTCACAAAAGGATTAAATTTAACATGCAATGCTGATTTTAGCTAACAAAGTCGGTTAGTTGCAGGTACTTGCTATTTTGGTTTGAAACACCAAGATGTTTTATCAGGTGAAAAACACATTTCTATGAGAAGCCTAACCTGTTCATAATGGCTCTTCTGATCAAGTCACGATTTCTTACATCCTGCAATATTTCTGTATCTTCTAGGTCCCATGTTTCTTGTTGCTGTGTTCTGGAAAATATTAGGCAAGTAGAAAATTTAAATAAAGAAATACAGAATGGCTTGTATGATTATTAGTTGCTATTACACACAAAGAACAACGGAGTATAGCTGCACCTCTTGCAATTGGTGCATGGATTAAATTATTACAGACAGTAACATTAAAATAAACATTGAATAAGCATATTGTTTAAATTTCTAGAAAAATAGTATGTGGCTGCATTCATTTCTGACCTTACACTTTACAACTTTCTTCTCAAATGATATTTCTGTATCTCCTTTCCCCAAACTATGTTCAAATATAACTTAGAATAACAATTAATCTGCAAGTGGCTAGTAGTCCATGAAAATATACTAAAACCTATTTACTAGACTTTAAAAAAACTATTCCTTAGTATTTACCACACTTTGTCAATTTCACCTTCAGTGTGGCTCCCTAAAGATTGTTGATGCTGTCTATGAAGTGATTTGACTAAGAGGAAATTGAACTGATGGGATCAAAACAAAATACAAGGCGCTTCCATGCCAGTTCTTCTTGCAATTCTTCAGATCCCCTGTTCTAGAGCTGTGTTTCCATGCTACTCTCTCTCATCAGCAGCCAAGCTAATTAATTTTGGCTCAGCTATGGTGCAGCTGAAAGCATCTCTCTCTGACGACACACCTTTCCATTTGTAACGATGCAGCTCTGCAGAATTGGTGAGCCCTTTGTTCTTTCCATTGGCAAGAACTCTTCCCCCACCCCATTTCCTCAGCGTCAACAGGTGCAGCATCCTGCAGAAGGCTCTCTAGAGGGAAAAGGTTGCTTGATAGCTTCGCAAGTCTCCCTTCATATTAATTTCTAAAATTTTACTTTGGAAAGAACCAGGCAAGTGTAGACCATTCTGCTGAGTCCATCTCAAAATGCAGCCAGGATCGATTTTGGATGCTTGATTCTTTGATGATCCTTGCATCTGTTCCTCAATATATAAAGGTGAAGTGAACTTTGCATGGGGTCTTTTTATTCTCTCTTCTCTCTTGCCAGGGACAAGCTGACTGCATAGTCCCAAGTTAAAAACAAAAAAGCACAAAACTGCCTCACATATGGGATGTGTGTATGAACAATTCCTTCTGTATGGAGGGAATTTCAGTCCCTCCTAGACTGTCTTTCCCTTTCCCTGGCAACATTTGGCATCCTGCCTGTTGGCATTATTTAGATCAAGTGTGTCCAACCCACGGCTCACCACATGTGGTCATGGACAGCCAGTAATGCACCCCACGAGAATGTAAACATTTAACATTAATATGTGGTTTATATACATTAACTATATATTTTATATATGGCCCAATACAATTCCTCTTCACTCAATGTGACCCAGGCAAGCCAAAAGGTTGCACTTCCCTTATTTAGACTCTTATCTCCGCTATAAAAAAAAATGCAACCCCTATTACAGTCCCTGGGGAAAACATTTAATTGTACAATTACCAGCATGCTCTCTTTCATCATCACAACTTCCAGTAAGCTTTTAAGTGCAACGAAGGAGTGAAAGCTTGATGGCCCCTCATTTATAACAAGTGAACATAGACTAAGGTGATCAAAGGCCTGGAGACTAAAACATACAAAGAACGGCTACGGGACTTGGGTTTGGCTAGTCTAAAGAAAAGAAGAAATAGGGGAGACATGAGAGCAGTGTTCCGGTATCTGAGGGGCTGTCACAAGGCAGAGGGGGGCAAGTTGTTCACCAAAGCACCAGAGGGAAGGACGAGAAACAATGGTTGGAAACTGATCAAAGAGAGAAGCAACCTGGAATTAAGGAGAAACTTCCTGACAGTGAGGACAATCAACCAGTGGAACAGCTTACCCCCAGAAATTGTGGGCACTCCATCACTGGAGATTTTTAAGAAGAGACTGGACATTCACCTGTCTGAGACAGTATGGGTTCTCCTGCTTCAGCAGGGGACTGGACTAGAAGACCTCCAAGGTCTATTCTATTCTATTCTATTCTATTCTATTCTATTCTATTCTATTCTATTCTACTCTATACTCTACTCTGTTCTATTCTATTCTATTCTATTCTATTCTATTCTAGACAAATGCACACAGTAAATTTTGGACATATAAGTGCAGCTAATTTATTTAATTTTCTTTCTAAATGAAGCAGAGAAAAAGGGATTGAATTTTTGTAGCTCCAAAAACTGAACAGCTCAGGATGAAACACTCACTGATTAACATTTTCTGTAGTACCTTATTGGTGAGCTGGAAAGAGGCCACTGCCTGTTGTTGCTGTCCTACAGATAGTTTTCAAATAACTATTCATTTAGTGACCATTTGGAGTTATAACAGCAGTGAAAAAAGTAACTTATAAATGGTTTTCACACTTATAACTGTTGCAGCATCCCCATGGGCATGTGATCAAAACACAGGTGCTAGGCAATTGGCTTGCATTTATGACAATTGCACTGTCCTGGGGTCATATGATCACCATTTGTAATCTTCCCAACTGGCTTTTGACAAACAATGGGGAAAGTCAGATTCATTTAACAATTGCAGTGATTCATTTAACAACTGTGGCAAAAAAGGTTATAAAAATCATTTAATAACTGTCTTGCTTAGGAACAGAAATTTTGGGTTCAATTGTAGTCGTAAATCAAGGACTATCTGTAGTCCTTCTCTGTGTTAGACTAGACATACCCAGTTTCTGAAACCATATTTCTGAATTCCTCCAGAAAAGGAGAGGACAGGAGATTGCCCACAAGTACTCTAGCTGCTCCTTGCAAGCGGACTACAGGACAATTTTCTGTGAGATGAAGGGATCAACCATCTATCTGTCTGTCTGTCTGTCTGTCTGTCTGTCTGTCTGTCTGTCTGTCTGTCTGTCTGTCTATCCATCCATCCATCCATCCATCCATCCAACTTATTGGCTGCCCATCTTACCGCACGGTAACTCTTTCTCAACATATCTTTCTTACAACCACAGCAATGCCCTTTAAAGAACATTGTTTGCAAGATTCCCTTTCTAAACATTATTGGAACAATGTCAAGTACTCCCCACAAAAACTACTAGCACAGCTGTTCAGAACCAATCTGAAACAAATCCATTTTTTTAAATTATCTCAACAATTTACATTCAAATGTAAATCTCCCTGATGTTGCATATATGACAGGAAAAAAGCATGTTATTGATTTTTTTTTACTCTAGTATTTATATGCTGCTTCTCATTGCACACATTCCTGAGGCAGTTTATACAGCAGTACTGTGGAGTAAAAAGATAAGTCAATCCATCTCTTTAAAAGTCTATCTTAGGAGAATTAACAGTGGGAGGCTAACTTACAAGAGAGTTTAGAATGTCAGTGATCCAGTCTATTGCTATCACCACAAAAAGTCATTCTCTAGTCTATGTCACCAGCCCTGAGTAAAATTTGCAAGCCATGTCTATCCAACAAGAGTTAACCAAGCTTTCTGTCCTGCACAATCACCTACTAATACAGGACAGGGCGTAGAAGTTGTAGAATGAAAAGCCTTGCCCAACTTTTCACTCTTCGTCATGTTGAAAAGGCTAAAAATGAAGGGGAGATGTTGATTCCGATTCAGGACATCTTGCACCCCACTGGTTACAGGCTTGCAGCTGTGCTTGGAGCTGTCCCACTGCTCTCCATCACCCAAATAATTAATATTCTCAGTTCAGGCATCACTGATTGCCTGTAGGAGAAGAATGCAGACCTTAAGACACAGAACTGGCAAAGCTGATAACTCTGTCTGGCAGCACTATTGCAACACATAAACACAACACTCTGAGAAGCAGATCAGGTTCTCTCAATCTGAGATTTTGCATTTAGCAGAAATACTAAACCACAATGCATGTGAACAGAATTCTTATGTCCAGCTGCACAGCATTTCTCATTCCATATTAGTTTGAAGTAGTGTGTTTTAGCATTCAAGTCCTTTTCAGCTTTGGTGAGACTTGATTGCTAATAACAATGTTAATGTATTATTTAATAGCCCATTCCCTGATTACTGACATCAGAGCCAGGGGCATCAGTCAAAATGATTGGTAGAATCAAGTGATCAAAGCCCTGCTCCTTTCAAATGTGTGTTGCATGCATACCATACAAAGTGAGGCTTTGATAACCCCAGGAATGCCCACCACTTTGTCTCCATTGATTATCCCCACCCTCGCTGATATCCCTGATCAGAGCTTACTAGTATCTGTGGGCCAGCAACAAAATCTACACATATAGACATTCATATATTGCCAGATGAAAGCTGTAAAATCATTGTGCTTGAAAGATTTGATATTAATAATAATAAAAAGGGCATTTTAAAAATATTTTTTCCACAAATATTTTACACTATTACAGAATCATAAAATTAATGAATAATGAAAATAATGTTCCATTTGGTAGGCAGATAGAAGTTTCCGTCTTTCAAAACACTGACCAGTGAGAGTTGGCTTCATCTATGATACCAACCCTGCAATTATACAGAGGTTTACTCAGATTTAAGTCCAGGTTTTTTTTCAATAGGGTTAACCCGCCAGAGTCTATAGCACAGTGATGGCGAACCTTTTAGAAGCCAAGTGCCCCACAACCCCACCGCCCCCTGCCGACCCTGCTCTGCTCATACCCCGCCTGCCCGCAGGGCCACCCACCGCTTCCACTGCCCGCCACAGCAGATTGCCCAGGCGGTCCTGCAGTGCCATGGCAGCCACGCCCTCTGCCTGCACCCCGCAACAGCATCTGCACGTAAAGGGGCATGAGGGCAGATTCTTGTCCCTGCTGCCCGGTTGCCATGTTCTTGGCTGCACTACTCCACGCTGGCCAAGCCTGGGGGTGACTCTCCTCCAGGGGGTTGCTGGTGAAGAAGGGGCTGCGGGGGGGGAGGTGGGGCTGGAGCAACAGCACATGTGCCCACAGAGAGGGTTCTGAGTGCCGCCTCTGGCACATGTGCCATAGGTTCACCACCACTGCTATAGAAGATATCAGCAGCTAACAAAGAAAATTCTCCCACAAAAAACAAACCAGATGGGACCTGATT